TTTCTGGGTTGTTGAGCTTGTTTGCCATAAAGTCCATAGTTGGACATGTACTTTATTCAAAACTAGCTGATGACCCGGTCTCGCCCGAGACTTTTAGTTCAACCAAGATGGGGTAGGGGAACGAAATCCGCCAGTTTGAAACATCTTCGCGGACTACTAGTCCTGCAACCACAAACGACAATACTTCAAAAGGATCGGTTGCCAGCAAAGGCAGGCTCAAACTGGTGGAGTTCATTCCCCTACCCACCAAAATGTCGTCGGCTCCCAGATTCGTGTAGAGGAGGGTTACGCACTTCCTTGATTTTCAGGAAAAACTTGTTAAACCTCCACGTTTTAGCACTGTATTTCGTACTTTCTCGTTGAGCTTTCCTTAAAACCAGTAAAGTCCGCAGCCCGCCTCCACACGAATCTGGAAGCTGATCATACTTACACTTTCTAACTTCTACAATGCGCAAAAACGCTTTGAGATGAGCCCGCTGCATCCTGTCGACCTTGAGATCAGAATGAACTTTACTACCCCTACTTACATGTTTTCTGGAAAATGATTGGTTGGAGCAGGTCTAACTTTCATTTTCCCCGATTTAAGTAGACAAATCAATAAATCGATGGAAGGACCCTGCGAATCGCCTGAAAAAGTAGCCATAAACCACCGCCGGGGTCGAAAACATATGTGTGCGAAGTTTCAGCTTAATCGGTTCAATGGCTGGCGTTTCTATAACGAACGAACAACTAAACGAACATCCTCACAGACATTGAGTTTTATATATACCAGTGCGTCACCTCTGCTTCGCAGAGGTCGCACTGGTTCTACTATCTAGGCCCTACTCATTCTCGCATAATGATGGCATTGAAACTCACCGAGCAATGCCGACTATCATGAACAAAATGTAACCAACTACTCATTCCGAAAGCTTTTTCATGTGAAATCGGTGATTTCGCGTGGATGATATTTTTTTGCAGGAGAACAAAGCATAATTTTGTACGTTTTTGATTTTCCCACAGTCTTGACAGTCGCCATGAGAACAGTAGTCACCATGAGCTACATTTAGGTGCAAAAATCTCATCAAATGCTCTGGTAAATGCTTGGCAAAATGACCACTTACGCAACCAATACTATTTGGCGTCGTTTTTGTAAAGTAATGGACTTTTGATCACTTTTTTGGGCCTAAGTTCATGGTTTGCACATTTACTTGCCACAAACATCCACGAGCCTGCAAAAAGTGGGATTACGGACCCAATTTTGGAGACCAAAAGCCAGGTAGGTCCGATTGACGCGCATTTTTTGAAAGATTTACACAACGGATCCGCTCGTGCTTTTGTATACTGGACTCTCAATTTGGTAACATGCGCTGCGCAAAATTTGAGCTCAGGACGTTGGCTGGAATACGCTCTACGAATTTCGTGACAGACAGAAATTACACACACACACAAACGTAAACAACCCTTAGCCCGTTATTGTAAGTTATGATATATATACATATATATATTAAATGTTTTATTGTAACAATCGGGTTGAGTATGATAATAGATGATAACAAGGGTGTATGCCTTTCTGAACCGCTCCGTCCTAGCGATTATTCTGCCCGCCCTAATTACTTCGCCTTTCTTATAATCTAGCAGAGTTTTCAAATATTTTTGAGCATTCCAAAGCAAGTGAGACGAACGATTAATGATAGTGAGGTTTTGAATAAGAGAACAAAAAGTTGGAAAGGTTGCATGTTTTTTAGGCCATTTCGTGATTTCTTTGCCCTTCTCAGTTTTCAAGATACCATGAAGTCTGTACGTGCTGAGAATCTATCTAAGCCGCCCATATAAAACATTTTCGAATTTCATGGGAATCGAAATCTTGTTTGATTCTTTTTATCATGAGAATGCCTTTGCAGTCCAATTCAGACGTCTCTAACGACAGCATAGCTCTCGCCTATCCAAGTGGCAGCAGCACCGACCAATCAGAGGCGCGCTGTAAATAGGCTGCTAATGCTAGCGGTTCGGAAGGGCCGTCTCCCTGATAACAATATATACGAGTTAGGCACCGTCCACCCTAAGTCAGAGGTCTTGCGCTTTTAACAGCTTATGATAGGCCCCTAAATACCCAATCCGCGGCGCAAAATATCGACTCGCAAGCGAGAATATTGCTTTGAAATAGCGAAGATGCATGAGGACCCCAAGTCGGCACCCCCCCCCCTCCCACCTCCAGTAATGCCTGCCCATGGGTGGGAGCTATATGTCGCCGAAAGGGAATGGTCCCACGTAGAGCTGCGACGAAGCACGCAGTCCTACACATCGCAAGCATGAAGATTTGTACCAGCTGACCGTGCGGGATGGACCTAGCGGCGATATATAGTCCCTTACTCCCTGCCCATCCGTTCGCACCCATCCAAGCACCTTTCCGAAAAGTCGGCCTGGGGGTTCTCCGAAACGGGGATGTCGTGGTTTTCGCAAATTCTTGACTTTATCAGAATCCATGTTCGACTATCCATAGATATTGGCATAGTTTGAATCTTCTGATTAGTTCCTTTAGCAGCGTCCAAGATGGTACAGATATTTATTCCACAATATAAAGACTGACGTTTCGGCAAACTCGCCTTCTTCAGAGTCTGAAAAGTCGAAAACACATAAGTGAACAATCCGATCAAACACCTTATCGACTACAGAAAAGAGCCCAAATCTCTAGACAAGCAACAGCAACAGTCTTGACTTTATATTCAGGATCAGGGAAATAAGAAGGCCCCGGAACTATCAAAACATGGAAGTCGAGAATCTGAGTAAACGGTGCCTCGCTTTCTGGGGTAAGGTTTACCGTAAAGGGTAGAATTCACTCCCAAAGATCATTGATGAATAGGGATTAATTGCTTTCCGGGGCAAACCCTACCCTCAAAGGTTCGTTGATGAAAACGGCTAATGAATCCTGAGGGCAAAACCCGATCTTGTGGGTAGGCTTCACTCAGTGTTCGTTGATGAATACAGCCACCGTGTGAATGCACTTCGCGGGCCTGTCGCCGTTGAATGCATTGTACATGGATCGCCTAGGAAATGAATCACCGATCCCTTTTCATTATTGTAAGAACACAATCAGAAATTCTGAAAGAATTTGGCCTATAGAATCACATATCGAACCAAGAAGTTGTTGCGAGAGCTGAAAACATTGTTACCAGGTTAACTATTATTGCTGATTCTACAAAAAAAAATTTTGCTGTACTGTAAAAAGTTACAAAATAAGTGCTAGCAGTTCGTCAATGGCCATCAAAAGCCTGACTATACCTTCTAGACTGCTGTGTATACTTAGTTACTGCAATCAAAGGTCTAAAAATCCGTTCATGTATTTTTTCGGAAGTTGCAATTTTTCTGAAATGGCAGCTGTTTTGCAATGACATTATGTTGAGGGTTTCTGCAATCCTATAGTAATGCAAGGTAGGATATAGTTGAAGCCGGCTCCCCAATACGGTACTTAGTCCATGAGCTGTGAGACAAGAGAGCTGTTGGCAATAAAACATTTATTGCATCATTTAGCACCCTGCTTATTTTCACAAAATTTGAGGCTTGTTTTGCATATTTCCTGTTTCACCCAACCTCACAGACTGCTGTGCAGCTGCAAAGGCCAGGATTCGCCTTAAACTTCGACCCGGGCTGATGCGGCAAAGCATTTCGTCATCTGTTGCTTGCCCCTTATCAGTCTTATCATTTTTTCGGCGATTCTTCACGCCTGCATATAATCCGCCTAAGACACTTCTCGTTGAACTACAACTCTCCATATAGCCTCTTTTTTCTAGAAGGATTCGACATTTGAGTGCGCTTTCCTAAGCCTTTGCAATATTAAAAGCAAAATTGCTTGTGCGATATTATTAGATCGTCCCAAAGTATTTTCGCGTTTCTTGAATAAGCACCACAATTTGCGAAACAAAGGTATATAGAAGATCTCCAAAGCATTTAATGCAGTTTTTCATGCTCTTTCGAAGGATTATTTTTTTATTGCAGTTTAACTAACGAGCTCTAAAAAATTATAAAAAACTGCCCAAGAATTTCTGGTCAAGTTCCCAATTTTTTCGAATTTTTGTACTGATTTCCCGAAGAATTACAGGTGAATAGAGCGAACCCTACAGAATACAAAACAATTTTATTTTTCTCCCCGTACTTCGCCATAATCTAATATATGTATGAAGAAGCGTAACGCTAATAAAAAATCAGACAGCGGGAAACCGCGATGCGGTCCCAAGCGCGCGAATGCAAATCTAGCACTTTGATTACTTGCTCACTACTTTTTTTTATTAACAGAGTTTTCAACAACAGCAACGAATTTTAGCAAACCTATGTCAGGCACAAACTGTCAGACATCAATTGATCCTTAATTTTTGATAGTTTCAAAAGTGAATTATGATTCGAAATTAATTTCACTAGCAAGCACGTTCAGGGAATCAAAATATCAAATTTTGAATTCTCCGGGTACAGCTTGGGGCGTACACAAAAACAGGAATTTTGTTATTTTTATCCCCCAAGACTTTACGAACCAGAAACAAATACACCCCTTCGATAGGGAGAAAATATAGCGTTGAATAACACCCGAGTTGCTTGCCTGTTGATGTTCTCTGATGCTTAATGTGACCATGAATGAAATTTAACAGCATCAAAAAAATAATTTTCAAAATTTTGGAAGGTGAGCTATGGAAGAGGAAGAAAATGTTTTGCACCCTATAGGTTTTGTCTATTTATCCGTACTTGGACGTATTCGGGAATCAATACAAGAATTTAGAAAAATAGCAGAACTTGACCATGGCAAAAATCATGAGTAGTTCAGTTTGCAATTCCTGGTGATTTTTTAGGACCTCGTTTGTTGAAGTGCAAAAGGAAATTGTTTGAAAGAGCATGAAAAACTGCATTGAATGCTTTCAAGATCTTTTAGAAAACTTTGTTCCGAGGGTAGCAGCGCTTGTACAACAACAAAAAAAAAAGCAAAAACACTCTCGGGAAACCTAATATAATTTCTGGGCGATGTTTCAGGTACGATGACAATTCTGGGCTACTGCTTACTCGTAGTTGCGCTTGCTATGTGCAACCCTTCTTCAGCAAAGGTCCACAAAATTGGCCTACAGTAAGTTTCACTACATTTTGTTACTCAGTTCCTCCAAATTTTTCAGATACACTCCATCCGTAAGAATGAGAATGTACCAGGAAGGAAAACTTGAGCAATATGTACAAGAAAAGGCCACTCGTGCACACAAACTTGCAGCACAGATGGATTCCAGCAGCACTCCAGTGATTGACTATGATGACATGGCTTATATGGCGCAGATCACTTTGGGCACACCTCCGCAATCGTTCGTGGTTTTCCTGGACTCAGGATCGGCAAATTTATGGGTGCCAGATATCGCTTGCGCCGAAGGACAGTCGAACACCTGCGGCACCTACTGCAAGCAGGTCAGCTTGTTCACCAATCCTGAGGATAAATCCAACTATTTTGAAAACAAAAAAAAAACAGAGGATGGTGCATGTCGAAAAAGCCTTTTTTCCTTCGCTCTATACCCGATTATAAATGCCATCCTTTCAGACACAATACCAGACCTGTCTTACATTCTGCCAGGAATCATGCTGTAAACCACCTGGGGCAATTTCTGAGTAAGCCTTTTATTTTTCGCATAATATTTCATCGCAAACCAAGCAAAAGCTGCTGTAACTGTGTGGTATCCGACGATAGTTGTAAAGAGAACGTCGACATCTATAAAATTCCTCTACAACAGTCACCTTGTGTAACTGCACCATTTTTGAGAGGCAAGGATCAACCATGTGGCAATAAATTACCGTCCTGATTGAAGCAACAAAAGAAAAAAAATGGAAAGTTACCAAACTGCTCGAAGCTAGGGAAGCTTTTCGCACTCTGCTGATGCCATCACGCCAGCAAATTAGAAAGTGGTGCAATTGCACAAAGCGGAATTCCTAATTAGGTGACTGTAGACTGTTAGGAGCATTATGAGCTGCAGCTTTGTGTTTCGAGTCCTTCAACTGAAGTTACTTCAACTGAACCATCTACTGTTTTAGCACTGCAAATGGCTGCACTGCCAAGCATAGATTTAATCAAAGTTTGTCGAGCACTTACGTGAAACAGTCAGGTGATACTTTCCTTTTTTGAAAAGAAACATCCTATGCAGATTTCTTGTAGATTCATTCACAATGTCTTACCAAACAGGAGAAGTTAGCGGATTTCTTGGCAAGGACACATTCTGTGTGAGTGAATCAATTTGACCAAAGGTGACTGATTCATTCCATGAGGAAGAATTCATATTCCAGCTTTACAATACCTCTCTATGCGCCACGGGACAGGTTTTTGGCCAAGTAACCCTCATGGGTCAAGGGTTCGATAAGCAGCCTGAAGATGGAATGATTGGGCTTGGATGGCCTGCTCTAGCTTTAGATACGATAACACCTCCTATGTTCAACCTTCTCAGTCAAGGAGAACTGGATCAGGCAAGAAATTACAGGCTATGGATGAAAAATAAATTCTTACTCTGATTTAGCCTTATTTCGTGGTCTATATGCGGCATCTGGGGCCGCATGCAGATAACAATGGGGGCCAATTGACCGTTGGTGGCTTGGACACCGAACATTGCTCGTCTGACTTTGATATGATCCCTCTCACTTCAAGGACGTACTGGCAATTCAAGATGTCAAGGTATGAAAGGCGCCTCCCAAATCTCAACTCCACCTCAACGCCTTGATCTACAAAAAATATTCAGTGTGAGCGCTGGATCCTACTCTTCGGCGCCGAGTGCTGGTTGGCAAGCAATCTCCAGTACAGGATCAACATTTATTGGTGGACCTAAAGCTATCTTGGATAATATAGCCAAACAGTATGTAGTACTACATGAACAAATAAAGAAACCTCATATGAGAAAATTCAATTTCTAGGGTTAACGCTGTCTGGCTGGACTCGCTAGGTTCATACTTTGTCGAATGTAGCGGCAATGATCCAGATGTCGTGTTTGGAATCAATGGGAAGTCTTATACAGTAACTCAGATCAACTACAAAATTTCTGTAAGAAATTTCTTTCTCGATTTTTCCTTTCCATAGAATTTCCCACACCTTTAGAGCGGTGTCGGACTCTGCATGTTCGGATTTTTCCCAACGACAGCTGGTGGTTTCTCCCCATCATGGACACTAGGGCCACCATTAATCCGCGAGTACTGCCAAATCCATGATATGCAAAATGGAGCAATTGGGATGGCCAAAGCTATCTCAGCATAGATTGCGCGATAGAGTGCCATGTGCTTGAAGTCAAACTCTGGCCAGTGCGACCGCGGTTATAAATAGGAAATTTCAAGCTCTACAATGTTACTTTTTTCACTGCCGCCTTATACTGGTCCTCACCCAATAAGACCCGTTTTATGTAGCATTTTATGCACTTCCATGACTAAGTGGCGCTCAGTTCGACCATTTGCTGAACGTGCAGCCCTCTGCGTCGAAGTGCAGAGAGGAGAAGCAAGCACTAATGGTGCATTAGCGCCACTGATTCAATTTTGGCAGCGAGTAAACTGTTTATACAGGTATGAAAAATCGTTTGTAAACGGTGAGATCTCTATATTTTTGCTGTTTCATTAACTCGAAATGTAATGTTGCGAAGATAATAAAAATTCTGAGGAGCAGATGTCCTAACACTCACAGGATCTTTGTGATTTAGTGTTAAAAACACTGTAATTTACTCCCAATATTCATCAGAAAACGTCATGACATCTAAAATATTTTGATCTGCGGTCAGTCTTATTCTTCAACGTTGCTGTGGGTAGGTGATCTCCATGATCTCTATCCATGCCACTAATTAGCCCAAATGGCCAATATATGCAATTACACCCTGTTTTCGAAATGGATTCTATTTGAAATCAGATTATAATTCTTTTTTATTCGGAAAGTGGGGCACTGAATCTTGGTCATTTTCTTGCTCTGATGATCATCTTTTGTCCTTTTCGAATCAGCTGTTCTTCTACACTTTGTACCATAGAATTCCTTTTTGTTGGTTCCACCATTCCTGTCTCTTCTCTGTCAATTTTTACTTGCCAAAGTGACCCTACTCGTTCTCTTTGCTCAATATTTCGACAGTGGCCCAAAATAAATAATTTCTGCCAAACATGGCGTAAGCAATGGACAAATGACGTAGGTGCGTCTGACTCACGGGATTGTTGACCACCCACTGCAGACCGATTGGAAAGCCTTCTCTCATCTGATTAAGTCATAGCAGTCAAAACAACTCCCTAGTTGTTTATTGTGTTCGCAGCTCAAAAATCGCGTTGCAGACGAAAAAATAGTTTTTGCTAACATTTCTTACTACATTTTTGCAAAATTCCATTTCTAACTATGATATTATTATCATTTTCTTTGATAACATTATTATTACTATTATTATTATTATTAGTATTATTAGTATTATTATTATTATTATTATTATTATTAATATTATTATTATTATTATTATTATTATTATTATTATTATTATTATTATTATTATTATTATTATTAATCATTATTATTATTATTATTATTATTAGTATTATTATTATTATTATTATTATTATTATTATTATTATTAATATTATTATTATTATTATTATTATTATTATTATTATTATTATTATTATTATTATTATTATTATTATTAATTATTATTATTATTATTATTATTATTATTATTATTATTATTATTATTATTATTATTATTATTATTATTATTATTATTATTATTATTATTATTATTATTATTATTATTATTGTTGTTATTATTATTATTGTTATTATTATTATTATTATTATTATTATTATTATTATTATTATTATTATTATTATTATTATTATTATTATTATTATTATTATTATTATTATTATTATTAATGTTATTATTCATAAAATAACGGCCAATGGACCTGCATAAAGTGTTTCTTAAGTCAAGAGCATAGATCATCGTTTTTGCAAAAAAAAATATTTTTCTTCATTGCTATGTTCCCGCGTTTTATAGCACAGTGTAAAGAATATTCCAACTGAAAAGTTTCTCTCCTTGAACTTCAGAACGGCTATTTTTCGTGGTTTACGAGTCTATTTTTTGCGCGAAATATGCAGTCTGGACACAGAGCATTCAGCATGGCAACTCATGAAATCAAAGCTATTACCACGTGAGCAATTCATACTGTACAACCCATGAAACGTTCAAGAACAGTTTGGTAATACAGAACTACGTACCATTAATCATAATTTCTGGGCCAAACAGGCCTCATCGCATCGTAATCTTGATTGGTTTGAAGATCAAGACCATCCACAACACATTTCGTTTCATCGTAGGCGCTAGATTCTTGGAGCACATCGTCTTCTTCAGGTAAGCTCTTCACGATTCGTCTGAATTTGGGATTTATTTGAAGACCGACATCCGCACGATTGCAAGCGCGCATTACTCATATCCGAGTAGAAATAACGCATACTGGCCACAATTTACGATATAGAAAACACTGGCAGTGTTTATACGTGCCTTTTAGACCAGAATTTGGCGTGCAACTACGAGCACGATTTTATTCACTTTTCTGCACGAATATGTAGACGAAATTATTTTGTTAGCTTAAACATGATACTTTTCACGAAAGTAGGTGTCATCAATAACGATGTGCAGGTCACGATGCACCAAAGGCAAACTGAGAAGATATACCTGCATAGCTCTAAGTTCCTGACGATGTTCTGAAGTGATATTTGCTTCTCTAACAGCGCATGACCAGCGTGAAATGGTCCAAATGTGCGCCTGAATGCTACTGTGATATAAATCTGCATTCCCAAAAAACAAAATCTCCTCACCTAATTAGGCGAACACAGCTCGCTGTAGATCCAAGACTAACACCCAATTCATGAATGAAACATCTAAACAGATAGGAAACATGCCTGGTTGAGAGCGAAAATGTGCGAGAGAATGTGTTACCTCAAGAAAACATCCGTTTCACCTACAGCTTGTACTTGCAAAGCAAAATATGGGAGACTAAAGTGCTTCAACTCGCACATGTAGATGATTTGAGCTCCGGCAAGCTTAGCACGAGGTAGCCCTTTACGGGCTAGTTCAAATGCTTCCTCGCTCTAGAATAATCATCTCAGAAATAACCTGCAAAAACGGTCAAAAAGAGGACAGGTGTACCTGAATATCTACTTCTGCTGCAACAAATGCAGCTTTCCGATATTCTGACTGCACACGTGTAAGAAGCTTCTCCAATCTGTGTCGAGTCACCTGATCTAAAGTCTAAGTCTCACTTGACAAGGATTGCTTCAGCAAGGAGATAAATATAATAGCTACCGTAATCCGCCTTCAATGTAACACGCCCTTTGATCTTGTGCTTCACTGTTTCACGACCGAATACTCCTTCCAGCCTGTAGCTGTTCACCCACGACCGAGCCAAGATTTCGGGTATCTTATCGCATTCGTCATTCAGCGCAAGAACTGAACGAAGATGAAGTTGCCTGCTCTGCCCACTTCATCAACATTAAAGGCACCGTCCACCCAAAGTGAGGGTTCACGAGATTCGATTGCATACTAATGTCGGCCCCCACACTAGGCCAACCCCCCAAGTTTCCCCGCAGAAGATTGCTACCGGAGCGAGAAATCCGCTCTGGAAGGTGCGTGATACGTGATCCAGAGCTGTTCACTCCGCCCATTTTGCAGCTTTGGGGCTGCGGCGCTGACATACGCCGAGCGATAACCGCGCCGCAGCCCTGCAAACTGCACTTCCACCCATCCCGCTTCCTCCAAAATAGGGGTGTTTGGGATTCTCGACTTCATATTCGAAATCAGGGCCTTCAGAAGGTCCGGAAGCGACAAAAACATGGAAGTCGAGAATTTGGGTGGACGGTGCCTACAACTCACCGCAGACTCCTGACGATGTGCTTTCCATGTAATGAACTTCTTCTAATCGTATATCTTCGGGTCGAAATGCCTCTCCGCAAACGAGTGGGTGCTGCCTGTAACGAAGTTGACACATATGAACACCACGAGGCATGAAGAACCCAGGACTTACCTATAGTCTTGAATCTCGCGTTCACCCACAACCAGTAAAGCTCCAGATTGCTCGTGCGGTTCAACTATCGGTAGCTTTACCGTGGGTAACTTTGGCATGCCAACGACTTCATTGGCGTCGCTACATATTCGTTTTACAATTTGCCTTTTCAGGCCAGTAATTGATAGGTCTACAGGTTTGTACACACAAATCAGACCATTCAAGGCTTGCCAGAGTTTTTCTTTCATCAAACTGCAAATATACAGATCCAAAGCCAGCAATAGCAATGGAATGCCTGGATTGCAATCACACATACTAATTTACGGCACATACTGCTTGGAGAAGTACGGTAAGTATTTACCGGCATACGCCCACCGATATACGACAGAGCGAAGACTTTGTCGCAATTAATTACAGTTACGCTCATCCAGTTCAACAAGGCCTAGATAAAGGTTGATGATAAATTCAAACTATAGGACACGATGACGCGACCGCGCGCGCACGCACGCACCTCCGGCAACCCGCATTTTCTCAATTTTCATTTCTATTTGAATAGTTGGCGCTATTCCACATAAGTTGACCCAAAAAATGAAGATCGTGAATTTCGCTAAAACTTCGTCTAGGGAGGTTATTTGGTACGCTGAGCACGAATATGATGTTTATTTCGTGCGACACTGCCATCCGGTGGAGTTACGGTAGGATTACGGTAGGGGGTCAAAATCACGGATTTGCCCGAAACTTGGCCTAGAGGGGTTATTCGGCCCGCTGACGCCGAATATCACATTGGTTTCGTACTGTAGTGTCATCTTCTCGAGTTACGGTGGGTATACGGTAGGGGGTCAAAATCTCGAAATTCGCTGCAACTTTGCACAGAGGGGTTATTCGACATGCTGATTAGAAATGTCACACTTTTTCCGCACGAAAACGTCTCCCTGCATGGTTACAGTAGGTTTAAGGTAGGGGTCAAAATCACAAATCGGCAAATGTATCTTTCCCCTGTGCTTTGCTTAGGCAAAAGCCGCAGCAGAGTGTGTAGCGCGCGGCGGTGGTCATGTGTGCAAAGCTTCACGATCATCCAAATCGCCACACACCCGTTTCGGGATGAACTATGTTTTACACCCGTCACCGTGTATCTACCGTAATCCGATAAAATGACGCTACGGTTCAAAACCAATGTGATATTTGGCATCAGCGGGTCGAATAACCCCTCTGGGCCAAATTTCGGGCAAATCCGTGATTTTGACCCCCTACCGTATACCCACCGTAACTCGAGAAGATGACACTACAGTACGAAACCAATGTGATATTCGGCGTCAGCGGGTCGAATAACCCCTCTGGGCCAAATTTCGGGCAAATCCGTGATTTTGACCCCCTACCGTAATCCTACCGTAACTCCACCGGATGGCGCTGTCGCACGAAATAAACATCATATTCGTGTTCAGCGTACCAAATAACCCCCCCCCCTAGACGAAGTTTTAGCGAGATTCACGATTTTCATTTTTTGGGTCAACTTATGTGGAATAGTACCGAATAGTTTTTGTGCTTATTTATGGTAGTAGACGTCGGAAGTGGCTGAGCTGAGGGTTAGCATGATTATAGGCGATTCATCGTAAAAGACTGCGGACATATCGGCGTCTCCCCGAACAAGTGCTCTTTCGTTTTTCTTATAGGCCGTCCGCGCAGGGCGCGGAGAGTGCGCAAGGTGTGTATTGCGCATCACTTCTCTTTCCCCGTGCACTCTCGCCGCCTGTTTTTCTCTGCGCTCAACTATCTTCACTGGACGCAACAGCGTTGCTCTCCGCGCGCAGCGCGGACAACGTATACCACCTGTGGTCGTATTCATCAATGAACCCAGTGGGTTTCGGAACCCATGAGTGGGATTAACCCACGAGATCGATATTCACGAAGCTTGTGGGTTCGTGAACCCAGTAGTGCTATTTTTGTATATCGATCCAACCCAGTGGCACTGTTTTCGCTTACCCAGTGGGTAGCGGAACCGGAAGGGACGCAGGAGTTCCTAGCACCTCCATTTGCACCGGCATTCACACTCCAGAAGGCTCCTCGCACCTTCGCGCAACAGAGGTCAAACCCCGCCCCCGCTCTACTCCTTCACTAGTCTCATTCGAAGGCTGCGAGATGAGGTGATAGCTTAGGCATGCAACGAAAATTCATGAAAAATCGTTATCTTGCGAGGCAAATCTCTTAATTGCACTTTATAAGCAAAGACACTTTGAAACCCCAAAAAAACAGTACTCTAGGTAAGCGGTGAGAATATTTTTGCTTCGAAACCGTTTTGTGAAGAAAATGCGTTGATAAGTTGACTGCAAAGGTTTTTTCATAGTTTTTGTTTCTGCATGACCATAGATTAAAGCTTGCCAAACGTACGGGGCATTGCTACTATATCAACGTTTCAAAGATTTCTTGAGGATAACTATCGCCATTTTGATACTACCACTTTGGCACTATTTACAACCAGACTGAATACGAAATTCGCAGTGCAATCTTTGAGAACTTGTTTCTCTGAGGTGCCAACAAAAAGATGACTTGGGATAACTATCTTGAAGAGCAAAACTCACTTCTTTTCCTGAAGAAGCCATGAACGTAGGTTCAAATCCTAGTAAGCGATTGAATTTTCTTTGATTTAGGCGAGAACTTTTGCATCGCTATATAGTAGGTCAGAATCGTTTTGGCATGCTAACAAGAAAATTTACAAAATTTCAGCGGATATTTAGCTAAAATCAGTTGCAAAAGTACCAACAAATCTCTACAGAAAAAGACTTTCTTATCATTCATTATCAAGGTACCAGAACATGAATCTGAAAAATTTTAGTGTTGAAAACGCATTCAAACTCTAAGAAAAAGTTGTTGAAAATAATGAGAAGCTCAAATTATTCGGTTAATAAGTCAAGATCTAGCTTCAAAACTGTTCTAAACCGCAATAAGTCAAATTTCGCTTATTTTGGATAGATTCTGTGGTGTTTTATTTCTATAGAGCATAGCAAGCTCTACAACGTCGTGTTTTAAAAAGTTGCATAAATTTGATCTACGCGAATTTCTAACCAAAAAAACTAGAAAAATCCAACTGTCCGAAAAACCCGAAAAAATTAGAAAGTCCATCAAAAATTGCACTCGTGCAACTTGCTCAATGGATATGTTTTCACATCAGAGGTACCTATATACACATTGTCTGGCTGAAAATCGAGAAAACGGAAATATCTTTGCTTCTGACAAAGCGATGCTCATAAGTAGACTTCATAACTTCTCATCTGTCACCTTCCATCCGTCATTATACATCCATTTAACAGAACACATCGGGGCTATTCTCCAAGCCTGCACAACTCGGAATAAGATTAGCTAGTGGGCGGAGCAAGTGGGCGGAACCGTTTGAAAGGTGCGAACGCCCCTTGGAGGTGTTAACTAGCCCTGCAAGGAAAGGCGGCGAGGCTTTGGGAACTCCTGGGCCGCCGCCAGCGGAACCCACTGGGTTTGTTGATGAATACGGCTACTGCTGTCTCTTCCATGCACGACCTAACTTGCTCGGACGCAACGGCGCCCACTCTTTGCGTGTTATGAATCGCCGTTACCTTTTTGTTGAATGTTTTGTGCTTTCGTGGGCGCAAGGACCGCAGTCAAATCCCTCGTCACGATTACAAAAATGACCCATACCACAATGCGCACATAGGTAATCTGTCTCCGCCTATGAGTTCCTTTATACTACGCCGCAGCCTGCGGCGCAAGCTGTAGGAAAAGCGCGAAATATCTGCGCTATTGGTCCATCTTCCTAGGGACCAATAGCGCAGATATTTCGCGCTTTTCCTACAGTCCGAACCTCTTGTGGGCGGGGCACATTGCTTTATATAGCCCCGAGGCGCTTTGAGGCGGGGCGAGGAAGATGGACCAATAGCGCAGATATTTCGCGCTTTTCCTACAAAGCCCTGCCGCCGGATGCCCATGCCACCGCAGTGCTTAGCGGTTTCTCGACATTCCTGCAGAACCCCATACAATGTCTTTGAGATATATGTACCGGCGATTCAAAATGCGCAAAGACTGGGCGCCCTTGCGTCCGAGCAAGATAGCTCGTGCATGGGAGAGGCAGTAGATGGTAAGAGAAACGAAATAGCGCTTGATCACAAAGACGCAGAAGGGTGCAGTATTTGCGCGCTACGAATCGCCTATAGAACCTGCTATGGAAAAAGCAACAAGTTGATCTGCAATAATCTAGTAACCTCACGAGTAATAGCAGACAGAATAGCGAATTGAAGCCACTCAAATAAACTAAAACGAAAGTTTAGTGAAATCGAAAACGCACCCAAATTCATGAATGAAAAAGCACTGAGCGTAGATCAGACAATGCTAAAGAGAAAGAAATGCAAACTTAAAATGAATGTTAAAAATGCGGACGTACATAGCAGATATGAACACCGCGAAGCTGCCCTAGCATGGGTTTATTTTCAACGTGAGAGTATGAAGGAACCCTTCATACTCTCACGTTGAACTTCCGTGGAGCCATTTTTCGGGTTACGGTGGGCATACGGTAAATGGCTAAAAATCCCGAATTTGCTCAATTTGCTCAGAGGGGTTCCTAATCACGCTGATTACGAATATCATGCTCTTTTTGCGTTTTGGAAATTGTTCGCGGAACTCCGATGTCGTACGATAGGTGACAAAAGTGATGGATCTGCTCCAATTTGTGCAGGGGTCTCATAAAACGTGCTGATCACGTATATCGCACTCGTCTCGCGCAACAAAGCCTTATCATGGATTTTTGAGATCTAGTTTTTGTTACAAAGCAAAAAAGTAGCTCTTTCAAGCAATGTTGCTCATCGTGATTCCAACAGTAAGACACTGATGCAGCAAACGAGCACAGTATCTGCCTTAGCACTCAAGAACCCTTCAGGCAAGGTTTTGAGCAAATTCGGGACTCTTAGCTGTCTACCGTATACCTACCGTAGCCTGAAAAATGGCTCTACCATGCAAAGTGAGTATGATTTTCATGTTCAGCATGCCAAATAACCCCTCTAGACGGAGTTTGGGGCAAATCCATGGTTTTGACCCGACATCGCAGTCCTGCCTTAACTCTACCGGATGGTACTATCGAGCGAAATAAGTGGGCTAATCGTAATCAGCGTGCAAAATGACCCCTCTAGACGACGTTTCAGCGCAATCCGCGATTTTCACTTTTGGGTCAGCTAATGTGGAATAGCGCCCTTGAAACTATTTAGTTTGTTGTTCCGCAAAATGATACACTGCAACCGCGTCACAGATCATTCTACCTTTTAGTTCTTCTACCATTCATAAAGCACCAAAAGTTTTCGTTGAATTTGATGGGAACGAGTAGTTGGACCTACTCACAATTGCTCTGGAGACGGTCAAGAGCCGCGACTTCTACGGCTGTCACCAGCTCAAAACTTCGATTTGGTGTTATGCGAGCATTCAAAAGGTACCAAATAAAGTGCATTAGTACCACCTGTCTCTTAAAGGCAGCGTACACCCAAGACAAATGCAACAGATGTTGCAACAGCAACTGCAACTGCAATTGCAGCTTACGCTGTTATAGATTCGTCCGAAGGAGGCGGAGCGAAAGAAAAGGGGTGGCGTGAAAGAAAATTGAGGGGGGGGGGGGGTTTTCTCTGCTTAGAAGCAACATTGGGAGACCGGACCAACGCAGTTGGTCTTCTTGTGGGCCCAGTATATACACGGTGTAGAAAGATCTAGGAAATTCGGTAACTCAAATTTTGGGTGTACGCTGCCTTTAACCGCATTTTCATGGGTTTTTGACCTTCGAAATTACTGTTTTGAATTTAATTTATTTCATACACCTTCAGAATTATAAATACTTTGATAAGTCAAACACTTATTATGTCTATTTGCTATTTGGTGTCCATCTGGCAATAGTAATCGCGCTTCTTGACATACACCCCGATTGTTGGAGTGCAAGATGCCACTACGTCGCAACCATGAAGACAAATTCAAACGCATAATGGTGTTTACGAATCGCCAATAATTTGGTATCCTCTGTAACACGACTAACAATCTCCCTGATTCGCTAATTAATGGGAAAATATAAGCTTATAAAACGCGTCAATCCATTTATGCAACCCCAGATGTGTCTCTTAATTTGAGAAAACACAAGATTTACGTGATTTCGCGATATTTGCAAGCGTACGACTCCATGCTTCGTAAATGTTATGCAAAAGAAGAATAGTAACAATCATTTATCAACAAATAACAACAAACTTAAGCTTTCTTTTGAGCCAATCGCTTGTCTCTTTCTTCAGCAATTGTGAGACGGATACCCTTGGAAGCCGGCAATGAGACGAGAGCTTTGTTTCCTTTTCCGATTACGAACACATTGGAGACACTAAAAACTCCTCACTATCATACTGGAAAACAACCAACCTGGGTCGGCAGTTATGGCATTTTCGAGCCCCCGACCTTCTTTCTCCTTTCGCAAGAAAACCTACCGTGTGGCGAAGGAGTGACCAGCAGCATCCTTGATGTGAATGATATCGAAACCTCCGGGAAGTTTTTCACGATGTCCAATAACTCCAACACGCCCGACGTTTCTACCGCCAGTGACCATAGCAAGGTTTCCAGCTTCGAATTTAACGTAGTCGGTAATCTTGTTTGAAGAGAGGTCAATAACAACGGTGTCGTTGGCCTAAGGAAACATGACAGTACCCAGTAGCATATGTGAAAATTTGAAGCTTAACATACATACCTTGATATGCGGGTCAGGGTATCTGATGGTGCGTCCGTCGGTGGTGGTGATGAATGGGATATTTCCCTTGGCAACATGAAGTGCCTTCACCTTGCACAGCTTGAACTGTCCTTCAGCAGCGGTAATTCTGTGGACAGTATAACGACCTTTTACGTCGTACAATAGGCGGAAGGTCTCGTTTGTGCGTTCAATGGTGATCACATCTGAAACAGAATGCGTTTGACATACTCAAATAGAGCTTTTCTAGAGCTTACCCATGAATCCAGCTGGGAATTTGTGATCGGTACGGATCTTGCCATCAACCTTGATGACCCTTTGGCGCATAATCTTCTTCACCTCGGAATAGTTTAAAGCGTACTTCAGACGGTTGCGAAGGAAGAGGTTGATTGGAAGACACTCCCTCAGCTTATGTGGTCCAGATCGTGGGCGAACAGCGAATACTCCTCCGAGTTTGTCCAGCATCCAATGTTTTGGAGCTGCTAGACGCTTCAAATGCTTCCTTGGTCCACGAGCCATGTTTGCTCACTTGAGGTAACCGCAAGCTGAAAATTCTACAAATCACTTTTGAACTGATTAAGGCGCAAAAATGAGGACGGCGATAATCGAAGATAATTCTCTGCTATGACAATAGTACATATCCAGTGCTTATCTTCTTTCATCACACTGACTAGAAACTAAGGAAATACACCAGAAAACGAGTAATTTGAGAGAAAAGCATATGAATGGAAGCGAGATGGCCCAACATCAAGTAGACATTTCGGCTGCTTACACCTTGCCAAGAGATTTTGTAAGATGCTACCAATATGCAGAATATCACTGTATTATAGATCCCAACTGGTCATCGACTTGGAACAGTAGTCAAAACCAGGCGTAGAGGGATTGCGCAGCTGCTGTGACTGCACAAACTTCGCTAAAAATGTCTCGCTGAGGTTGTCCTTCAGAAAGGATGGAAATCAAGTGGTGCGCACTTGCATGTGCTGAAACTGGAAATTCAAAAAAGTACTCAAAATTGAAGTTCTGTAATCATAATGAACCAGTCAAGATCAAAATTGGAATTTCTATGTTTTCGAGGTTGTTCTTCTGCATAGCTATGATTGTTCGCAAAACAAAACACAAAAAGCACTTTTTTCAAATAATTTTTCAAAATCTAAGTTTAAGTTCAGCAAAATGTTCAAAGTGAATGGTTAGATAACGAGTTCATGCCAGTACACATAGACATTTTATACGACATCACTAATCATTTATGGATATGTGACTGACAAGATCGCGCCAACAGGTATATAGCTTGTAGCCAAGAGAACTGTAGTCAAGTCATTCTTGATAATAAATATGGATAATCATGAGGCGTCTCCGAATCAGTGATAATCAACTAGTCATGACTACATAAGATGTAGGTTAGAACCTTAATGCGCCTGCGGCATTCTGCTCGAAGGAAACCTTTATGAGGTCATAACCTTGCAACGCGGAAGAGCGAAAACATGTAATCGAGTACATGTACCGTGTTCAAGTACAGGCAAGTCTCTAGTTTTATCCCAATGATGTAAGTTTGAGAACAGGCGTCTCCAGTTCAAACCGCTAAATTCTGATGTTTAAAGTTTGTTCGTAATTGTGTCCTGGCCTTTTACACAAAACAGACTATGTTGAAATGAAATGGAGGACCTCGAAAACATAGAAATTCCAATTTTGATCGTGACTGGTTCATTATGATTACTGAACTTCAACTTTGAGTACTTTTTTGAATTCCCAGTTTCAGCATATGCAAGTGCGCACCACTTGATTTCCATCCTTTCTGAAGGACAACCTCAGCGAGACATTTTTAGCGAAGTTTGTGCAGTCACAGCAGCTGCGCAATCCCTCTACGCCTGGTTTTGACTACTGTTCCAAGTCGATGACCAGTTGGGATCTATAATACAGTCAGAATATCTCTCCCGAGGAATAACGCTTCAGAAACTTCCAAGTTCTTTTGATAACAAAAAATCAGAAAACTGCAACCATTCCGCCCGGATCTATGTTTGGAGCAAAACACCCACCACCCCGGTTGAAATTCGAAAATTGCGACTCTTCCAATTCAAATTATCATCCACGCCAAAAGCGGGAAACCCCAACACAAAACAAGCAGAAAGAAGAACAAAGCGTTTGAAGCTGCGGTTGAGAATTTGGGGACGATGAAAATGTGGACACGGTAGCGCAAGAGTTTCAGGACCCATATGATTTAAAGTGGAGAGCCCCTTGATGCGTGTTTCCGATGAAAGTCCTGGCATAAAAGTTCCGCTTTGTAGACTGTGCTACTCACATGTGCTGAGTTTAGTTAGTCATAAAGAAGTGAAATACCATGACCTATAGTGTAATTTCATAGGTCGTCGTTTCAAATTGCTTGTGCTATATCATGATGCAAACCGTTTGCGAAGTTAGAGATTTTTAGCTGGAACTTTCGCGTGTGTGAATTCAAATGTTCAAATTCTATCATTTCGTAACAGGTTTTCTCTCGTGATTTCATGGTTTGGTTTGTGGTTGTCCTTCTACTATGAACCTGCTGTAACTCTGAAATTGCTCTCCTTTGAGGCAGAATAAGTTTTGTCAATTATTAGGTTGGCTAACAAATAATTTCGGCCGCTTTTGCTTTTTCGGTTGCTCTTACAAATGCTTCAGACAAATTTTTGTCCAGTCTTTGGTATCTCTGGAAAGAGCACTTCAGCGGGAATTAGAGTTCAAATTTTGTTGGAGTAGAACTTATCTTTTGGAGAAAAAAAACGCAGAAGACTGAGAAACCAAAATTTTCTCATGGTGCAAATACAAGGATTTTTGGGCTTTTTGATAAAAAATTTTCATAGTTGCAGATTGCGATTTTCATTGTCATTCATTAGGGAAAACTCCTTTGTATCCAAATACCAAACTGCTGTTCTCTACATCCATTACAGCATGAAAACGAAGCTTAGGAAATCAGACAATTGAGCTTTTGAAAATTTAGCCATTGAGGCATAACTTTCTTTGCTGATGATAAAAATCTTTAGTATCTAATGTGTGATAGAGGAAGCTTCGAACTGCTTTCCCACAAAAGATCATGTGGATAGAAAACAACAAGAAAATTTTTTAATGGAGATTTGCATGCCAAAACGAACTTATTTTTTAGCTAACCTAATACCTGCTATGTCGAATAACTCTAGCATGCAAAGCCTCGGCCAGATCTGAGATTTTGAATGAACTCTGCATCTAGAAATACTGTTCACTTTTCGCAGAGTGAACGCAACATAGGATGCTGTAATATTCGTATTCTGATACTCAATTAGCAATGGGGAAGGAACAATTTCGAGAGTCGGACTTGGCGCGGAAGGTGTAAGTTTTATGGAGTTTGCGTCGATTTTGCTTTCAGAAGTTTTTTAGCGTTGGTGTGAAATTTACACCTGGAGACAGCGACTTCATGCGCCAAGCTGCTCATATACGGGTTCTAAATAATCGTCTTTACGAGGATATTCCTGGAAAATGGATCCCGGCTCAGTGTGGTCCTTTAGATTCGCGGCTGGTGAGGTTTTTGATGTCTATACTTTATCTGAGTGAGATCCTGTAAGTTTAATTGTTAGGGCACCGCGACCAAGCATGGTCAGTGTAAAACCTGTGGTAGACTTCTTGCTGATTGTGTTGGGCATTTTGGGTACATCGATCTCGAATTTCCTGTTTTTCATGTTGGATTTTTCAAGTTGACTATACAAGTGTTGCAGTGCATCTGCAAGGTAAGTTTCCATTTTGAATCTCCATTTTTGGATTTTGGTTCTCAGCGTTGTTTTCATATAGAGTTGTTCTGGACTTTTACTGCGGGATGAACAACGTGCGCAATATATGCGGATGATTTCCAATCCAAATTTGGATTATTTGAGAAGAAAAGCCTTACACAAGAATATTGTTGCTGCTTGTAAGAAGATCAATCCATGTCCGAAATGTGGTCATCGAAATGGTTAGAGCTCTGTTTGTCAGCTTGCTCGTTGTAAGTCTTGGTGATTCTCCTTCTATCGCATTTTAGGATTGGTTAAGAAAGCCGTAGGAACTGTGCTAAAGATTGCTTACGCTCATACCGTCACTGAAGATACTGTGAGTTATCGCAACATAGTATTTACTTCCTATTTACTTTACTATTTACTTCCTTATTTCTCTCCTCTGTCATCAAGGCGATTTAGGCGCGCGAGTATGTTTCTGCTACCGAAGCCAACGCCGATCTGTCTAATGCGCTATTCAAAGCCAAGTTCACTTTGCTCAATCCGCTAAGAGTACAGAAATTGTTCAATAATATATCGCAAGAGGTCTGCTTATACATTTTATGGCGAAAATTGTCCTACTGATGCGTTTGTTACCAGGATATTCCCATCATTATGGTTCGATCTGGTGAAATCAAGCATCCCAATGACCTACTTCTTACAAGAATACCTGTCCCACCAGTGTGCGTTCGCCCATCTGTGATATCTGGTGATTTTTGTACTTATTTTTCTCTTTCTTTCTCATACAAGTCCTCTTGTACCGTAAACATTCTAGAAGTAAAATCGGGTACTACCGAAGATGACATTACAATGAAGTTATCCGAAATAATTCTAATCAACGATGTCTTGCAAAGGCATAAGAAAGATGGCGCTCCAATGAAAACCGTCACTGAAACATGGGATCACTTACAGGTAGGTATTTTTTATGCTTTCTCCCATACCATATCGGCTTTTTCGCAGATTCAAGTTGCCCTGTACTTCAACAGTGAATTGTCTGGTCTTCCTCCTGAGATGCAGCCTAAGAAGGTTCCTTCGTTGCTTTCTTCTTATGTATGTTTAGATTACCATTATAGGCCATGCGCGGATTTACACAGCGACTGAAGGGAAAACAAGGGCGTTTTCGAGGAAATCTTTCTGGGAAACGAGTGGATTTCTCTGGGAGAACGGTTGGTGTGCTTTTGGTCGCTTGGAATTTATCTGAGAAGTGGCGCAGTCACTTTTTTTGTGTTTCTATTTCTTTTTTATTGTCAGTTATTCCAGGTTATCTCGCCAGATCCAAACTTGCGGATCGACGAAGTGGGTGTTCCAGTTTACGTCGCTCTTATTTTGACCTTCCCTGAGGTAGTGAACAATTACAACATAGAGCGTATGAAGAAGCTGATTTTGAATGGGTCGGATATCCACCCCGGTGCCAATTACGTGATTGACCGTATAACCGGAACCAAACGGCTTTTGAAGTAAGCAAACAGAAGTTTTTTGTTATAACAAAATTACTGTTGTCCAGGTATGGAAGTCGGGAGACATGTGCTCAGAGCTTGAAAGTAGGAGATATCGTTGAACGCCACTTAGATACCGGTGACATTGTGCTGTTTAATCGGCAGCCTTCGTTACATAAAATCTCCATCATGTGTCACCGTGCTCGCATTGTGCCAGGACGAACCTTCAGGTGGCATTGCTATCTAGTTTTTGGTATTTCCATTCTTGAAACTAGATTATAGGTTCAACGAATGTGCTTGCACCCCATATAATGCTGATTTTGATGGTGATGAAATGAATCTGCATGTGCCACAGACATATGAAGCAAAGGCCGAAGCTAGTCTTTTGATGGGCGTGAAAAGCAATCTCATCACTCCCCGATCCGGTGAGCCGCTAATCGCCGCGATTCAGGTAAGCATAAATTGATATGTGCTGCAATTAAATGTCTCTTCTCCTAGATGTACCTAGAAAAGGTTTTTTTTTTCAGGATTTCATCACTGGGGCATATCTGTTGACGCACAAAGACACCTTCCTCACATACAGTGAGGTAAGAGTAGCTTCATGGACTTAGTTTTATTCACAATTTCGCTTCATGGCAGGCTTGTCGATTTGCTGCAGCAGTCATCGACTGCTATGCGAAAAAGCAGAAGCGGATACGCTTGCCACCACCTGCTATCATCAAGCCTGCGCGGCTCTGGACCGGAAAACAGGTATTCGTTTTCGGTATTTTTGCGCATTTCGAAACGCTTTCATTCAGCTCATGCAACTCATCATATCTGATGATTTTAAAAATCCGCGGAAGTTGAATCTAGTCACTCCCAACAAAAGCTATACGGGTAACAGGGAGTTCTGTATAAAGGCAAGTATAGTCTCTTTTTTTCTGTGCTACAATAACCACTATTTTTAAGGATTCCTACGTTATCATTCGCAATGGAGAGCATCTCGCTGGAGTTCTGGATAAGTCGCTGTTGGGTTCTGGTTCAAAAAAGAACATTTTTTACATCTTACTGCGGGATTTCGGTGAAGATGCCGCTGTTGAAGCCATGTGAGTTGTAGTTGTTTTTTTGTAACTCACTATTTTCTAGTCAAGAGGCACAGTGTTTAGCCTGCTATATTTCGTTGTTCCTTCGTGATAACGCGTCGACTATTGAGTATCTCTAAAATGAATAAAAACCTTCAGGTGGCGTATCGCACGAATGACTCCAGTGTTTTTGTCAAATCGCGGGTTTTCGATCGGAATAGGCGATGTGACTCCTAGTCTACAACTGCTAAAGGAGAAGAAACATCTGCTCGATGAAGGTTTGCAGCTGTGTATGCCAGGCTTCCACGGTTAGCTGTTTTTTAGGATATCGGAAATGTCATGAATATATTGCACAGCTGAAGTCTGGTCAGCTCAAAGCTCAGCCTGGATGTACGGATGAAGAAACTCTGGAGGCATTGATCTTGCGTGAGTTATCGTCCATTCGTGACAAAGCTGGTAAAGCCTGTGTGGACAATCTATCCAAGTAAGTTTTTCTTGTCAAAGCTTCAGTCTACTTCATACCATCGACATTTAGACATAATGCCCCATTGATCATGGCAGTTTGTGGATCGAAAGGCTCATTCATCAACATCTCACAAATGATCGCTTGTGTGGGTCAGCAGGCTATCTCTGGGCATCGACCTCCTGATGGCTTTGATGTGAGTCAGCTAGAAGCATTACCGTCTTTAACAGTTGGTTTTGGTTATGCGTCTTGAAGTTTTCCAGAAACGATCACTTCCACACTTTGAACGACTGGAGAAAACCCCTGAAGCAAAAGGTTTTGTGGAGAACAGTTTCTTTTCTGGTTTGACTCCGACGGAGTTCTTCTTCCACACTATGGGAGGACGCGAAGGACTTGTTGATACAGCTGTCAAAACAGCAGAAACTGGCTACATGCAGCGACGTCTGGTGAAATGTTTAGAGGTCAGTTAGTTCCTCGCTTCACTTACACTTATGACTTCTTTGTTTCTCTTTTTGTTTTGATTCGTCTTTAACACGTTTCGGACCGGTGCTGCACATGGTGCAGCACGCGCCTTTCAAGGATCTTTTTAGTGTTTGCAGGAGGTTTTCTTTGTCCAAGGTTATCAAGTAAAAGACCTAAGCTCCTCTTTTTCAAATGACTCTGTAAGTATGTGCCGCCGATATTTCTCTAGAAGATATGAGGACAATTCGAACAACAGTTGCAACGAAGTGCGGCATCGCGAACGACGCGTGCGACGTCGCAGCTTTTCTTTGCTTCGAATTCAAAGAGAAAACCCCTAGTTTCAATAGTGATGAGTACCGTGTACAACATAGATACTTTTGGATACAATCAGAAACTGAGTCCTTGTTCCTATCTTTCAGGAAAGCACAGAAGTCCTTCTCAGGCGAAATAATTCAAACACTTCGAATTCACTCAGAACTTTGGGTATGAATCTTATCTGACATGCTGATTACAGATGTAGCACACAGTATACGAATTAAGGTCCCTTTGTTGGCTAACGGCTAAAAGTACACTCTTTTTCGCCGCGCGCGATTTCGCGGTCCGAAACGTGTTAAAGTCATTCCTTTGAGCTACTTTAGGCAGATTAGAGCTTTTTTGATGACCACGTCATTCGCATCACACTGATTTGACGTCATTTTTATTCTCGCTAAAATTAGTTTTCAAGGATTTGTGTGCCAGTTATGATGGGACTGTGCGGTCATCGGTTGGTGACATTGTCGAGTTCACCTTCGGGGAAGATGGTTTAGGTCTGTAAGAATTCTCGAATTATTTGTAATGTTCAACTTGCTCCTTGCCTCAGTTCTTGCCGCTAGGATGATCCCCACGGCGAGGAGTTAGCCTTACGAGCGTATCGAAGCTTATTACGTTTTGTTCTAGATCCTGCAATGATGGAGGCAAAGGACGGGAGTGTTTTGGACTTTATGCACCAGCTGGAACACATCCGCAGCACACAACCGTTCAATGATGATGAAGAGCTTGATAAAGAAGATATGCAGGTAGTGAGTAGAATATCATTGGCACAAACATTTCAAGCTATGATTCAGTCATTGGCAAAGACTATTCTTGACGCGGAACTTGGCACATCACACGTACTCTTTCGCGAACAGTTACAGCAGTTTGTGGATCAAATCATCGATAAGACAACAACAGTCTTCAAGACGCCACAGTACTGCAGCAGTCATCCTAAAGGGTTTGTTCATATAATTTTTCATGATCGCACCTACTCGCATTAAACGCACACTATCCCTTTTACCACATTGTTTAAGCATCCCACCAAATAGAAAAGGAATGTGCGCACAGTGTGTCAGCCAGCAAAAGTTTAGGTTCGCTTAATTTGTTATATAAAATCTCCTACCATTTATTGATATTGAATTTTTATAGAAGTGCACAAGTACATGCTCATTGCGTTTCACATTCCCAGTTCGTGGCGTTTTTGGAATCTTGTTGTTTGAAGCTGAGAAAAGCTGTTGTAGAGCCAGGAACAGCAGTAGGCGCTATCGCAGCTACGAGTATCGGTAAGTCGCGAGCTGTGTCACATCTTGTTAATGAGCTTATACTTCCATCTTCTAGGTGAACCTTCCACTCAAATGACTCTGAAGACTTTCCACTTTGCGGGTGTGGCTTCAATGAACATCACACAGGGCGTACCGCGAATCAAGGAAATCATCAATGCTGTGAAGGCTGTAAGAATTATCTTGTAGTTCGAATGAAAAGAGTGTGCAGCAGTATAATGATAATGCATGCCGCAACCAAACTGTTGCCTGAGGAGGCGTGAAGTTTATCTCAATGGGCAATTTGTCCTGCAAGTAACACGTAACATCGACTTCACGATTTGTGTAGCGGAGTCGTGGCAGCTTAAAGCGTGGCGGTTTTTCATTGCGAGAGAGTACGGAAAACAACGTTGTAACGTGAAGGTTTAACAAGTTTATCCTTATAATCACGGAAAGTCCGCGACCCGCCTCTACACAATCTTGAAGTCGATCATATCTAGGAAAATCAAAAAGGTTCGCTAACGTAATCTGGGTTTACCATTTGAGTGTATCAATTTCCTTGCAGAGACTTAGTTATACAGTGCTGGCCATAATTATAAAGACACTCTAGAAATCACTGTAATTTACGTTTTCGATGAAATCATCTGAAACTTTGCTGTGTAGTGCGCATGCATGCCTACCATGACTCCTTTAAACGGCTTCCAAACCCACTGATTTCGAACGGAGAAAATGGAAAAATTCGAAACCCGTTCTGAAAGCTGGACAAAATTATAAAGACACCTGGTTTTTTTGAACATTATCGCACTCCTTGACATCCAAATTCTTTTGTAGAGTTACGTCCCAAAATATGAAACTTTTGCAACACTTATGACCTGTCATCCTACTCAAAGAAAGATGATCATTGAATTTTTCTTTTCCAAAGGCATCAAAAATCAAACTGCTTCAACAAACAGCTGGTTTAAAGAGTTTTCAAGCTCGTATTCTTTTCAAATGACAGTTCTGGAATACACTGAGATTTCTATAGATAAGGTGAAGAGCGCTTCTACGAACTCAGCGTAATTGCTGGTACTGACGGATCACTCCAACCCCACCATAGGATTTTCATGGCTTTTACACCACAAAACTCACTTTTCATGTCCGTGAAGTGATGGACTCGATTTATCGCATTGCCTACATGTTGAGGCAGCTTTTGCAACATCTTTCAGATTTTTTGTAGTGCTAAAGTTGCCATTTAGATCTGAAATTCTTTCCACGAAAATTCTCTGCGAGCAGTAGATTCAACATAATCACAAATTTCACTATTTCCCTCTCTGTTTCATGTCACATTTCACGCGGTAGCGGAGATTAGCTAAGATTTTGAAGTTTTAAACGGTCTGCTGTTCGATTTCGTGATTTGAGTTGGATATGATTGTGCAGGGTGCTCCACTCAACTCTCAGAGGATGACAATTGCGGCTGTACCAGGATATTCGACCCCGAAATTTTTTCCTGACTAGGCACACAAGTTTATAATACAGCGCACGTAGTGGCTAAATTGCAGTGTTTCTGCAACTTGAAAGTCAAGTTCTGTGGTGCAAAAGCGAGGCGACCCTATGGTGAGGATGAAATTTGTCTGCCAATATCAGCGATTACGCGGAGTATATGAAAGCGCTCTTCACCTTGTCTATAAAGGCTCAGTGTATTCCAGAACTGTCTTTTGAAAAGAACATGAGCTTGAAAACTCCTCAAACCAGCTGTTTGTTGAAGCAGTTTGTTTTTGATGCCTTTGGAAAAGAAAAATTCAATGATCATAATTCTTTGTGTAGGATGACAGGTCGTAAGTGTTGCAAAGGTTTCATATTTTGGGATGTAACTCTACAAAAAAATTTGGGGTGCGACAATGTTCAAAAAAATCAGGTGTATTTATAACTAGCTGGCTTACCCGGCTCCGCCGTATCCGGACCAAACTTGGCACACATACACTTCGGGCCCCGGCGGGTGTCACAGTCCACTTTTCGTTATCGATCGATGTCGATTTTACCGATTTTTATCGATTTTTTTGCAGAGTTCACCTACAGGGCTAGGAGTTGGCACAGGGGGAAGTGAGCATGGGGATTCCGAATACAATATTAGTTTTCAGAATTATCGATTACTTTTATTGATTTTATCGACTTTTTGTAAATTTTGACATGCGAGGCTGGGATTTTGCACAGGGGGGTAATCGAGCATGCTGATTACGAACACAATATTAGTTTTCAGGATCGTCCATTACTTTTATCGATTTTATCGATTTTTTTGTAAAGTTTGACCTGCGGGGTTGGGAGTTTGCACAAGGGGTAATCGAGCATGCAGATTGCGAATACAATAATAGTTTTCAAGATCGTCCATTACTTTTATCGATTTTATCGATTTTCTGAAAATTTGAGCTAGGGGGCTGGAATTTGGCACAGAGGTGTAATCAAGCATGCTGATCACCCCCCTTGGGGATGATCAGCATGCTCGATTACCCCCCTGTGCCAACTCCCAGCCCCCTAGCTCAAACTTTGCAAAAAAATCGATAAAATCGATAAAAGTAATCGATAATCCTGAAAACCAATATTGTATCCGGAATACCCATGCTCGATTACCCCCCCGTGCCAACTCCCAGCCCCGTAGCTCAAACTTTGCAAAAAAAATCGATAAAATCGATAAAAGTAATCGATAATCCTGAAAACCAATATTGTATTCGGAATCCCCATGCTCGATTACCCCCCTGTGCGAACTCCCAGCCCCGTAGCTCAAACTTCGCAAAAAAATCGATAAAATCGATAAAAGTAATCGATAATCCTGAAAACCAATATTGTATCCGGAATATCCATGCTCGATTACCCCCCTGTGCCAACTCCCAGCCCCGTAGCTCAAACTTTGCAAAAAAATCGATAAAATCGATAAAAGTAATCGATAATCCTGAAAACCAATATTGTATTCGGAATCCCCATGCTCGATTACCCCCCTGTGCCAACTCCCAGCCCCGTAGGTGAACTCAGCAAAAAAATCGATAAAAATCGATAAAATCGATATCGATCGATGACGAAAAGTAGCCTATGACACCCGCCGGGGCCCGAAGTGTATGTGTGCCAAGTTTGGTCCGGATCGGTTCAGAAATGGAATTTTCTATTCGGAACATACGTACACACATACATACATACAGACATACAAACAGACATTCAGCTTTATATATAAGACTAGCTGGCTTACCCGGCTCCGCCGTATCCGGACCAAACTTGGCACACATACACTTCGGGCCCCGGCGGGTGTCACAGTCCACTTTTCGTTATCGATCGATGTCGATTTTACCGATTTTTATCGATTTTTTTGCAGAGTTCACCTACAGGGCTAGGAGTTGGCACAGGGGGGAAGTGAGCATGGGGATTCCGAATACAATATTAGTTTTCAGAATTATCGATTACTTTTATTGATTTTATCGACTTTTTGTAAATTTTGACATGCGAGGCTGGGATTTTGCACAGGGGGGTAATCGAGCATGCTGATTACGAACACAATATTAGTTTTCAGGATCGTCCATTACTTTTATCGATTTTATCGATTTTTTTGTAAAGTTTGACCTGCGGGGTTGGGAGTTTGCACAAGGGGTAATCGAGCATGCAGATTGCGAATACAATAATAGTTTTCAAGATCGTCCATTACTTTTATCGATTTTATCGATTTTCTGAAAATTTGAGCTAGGGGGCTGGAATTTGGCACAGAGGTGTAATCAAGCATGCTGATCACCCCCCTTGGGGATGATCAGCATGCTCGATTACCCCCCTGTGCCAGCTCCCAGCCCCCTAGCTCAAACTTTGCAAAAAAATCGATAAAATCGATAAAAGTAATCGATAATCCTGAAAACCAATATTGTATTCGGAATCCCCATGCTCGATTACCCCCCTGTGCGAACTCCCAGCCCCGTAGCTCAAACTTTGCAAAAAAATCGATAAAATCGATAAAAGTAATCGATAATCCTGAAAACCAATATTGTATTCGGAATCCCCATGCTCGATTACCCCCCTGTGCCAACTCCCAGCCCCGTAGCTCAAACTTTGCAAAAAAATCGATAAAATCGATAAAAGTAATCGATAATCCTGAAAACCAATATTGTATTCGGAATCCCCATGCTCGATTACCCCCCTGTGCCAACTCCCAGCCCCGTAGGTGAACTCAGTAAAAAAATCGATAAAAATCGATAAAATCGATATCGATCGATGACGAAAAGTAGCCTATGACACCCGCCGGGGCCCGTAGTGTATGTGTGCCAAGTTTGGTCCGGATCGGTTCAGAAATGGAATTTTCTATTCGGAACATACGTACACACAGACAGACATACAGACATACAGACAGACAGACAGACAGACAAACAGACATTCAGCTTTATATATAAGATTTTGTCCAGCTTTCAAAACGGGCTTTTTCGAATTTTTCCTTTTTTCCGTTCAAAATCAGCGGGATTGGAAGCCGTTTTGAGGATTTATGGTAGGCATGCATGCGTACTATACTGCAAAGTCAGACGAGTTCATCGAAAAGAACGTAAATTACAATTTTTTCTAGAGTGTCTTTATAATTATGGCCAGCACTGTATAACCTGCTATCTGTGCAAATCTGTTCTTCAGATTTCCACACCAATCATAACGGCGAAACTCACTAACATTCGAGACGAAAAGCTAGCACGACAGGTCAAGGCGCGGATAGACGTGACCACATTAGGTTACCCAGATCAACAATGTTTTTTTTTTGTGAATTGCATCTCTAGGAGAAATATGTGACTACATCGAGGAAGTGAACATGCCTGATAACACGTTCTTGCTGTTGAAGCTGAGCACTAGCCGCATCCGAATTCTTCATTTAGAGGTAGTGTCGGTTGTTTTGACAATGTTGGTGGAATGAAACGCTTACGGCTATGACTGCTATCACGGTAACTATGTTTCAGGTCACTATGACCACTATCGTACAAAGCATTCTACGTACAAAATCCTTGGTGCCATTTAAACCTTCACAGGTAGACTTTTGGTCTTGGATGAGTCATAGCATCGCGAATAAAGCTTTTTTCAGATCACAACTGTAGGAAAGTCTATGATGGTCATTCGACCACCAAGTGACTCCAAATTTAGCAAATGCATCACTGTGCAAATAATGAAGCAGGCACTGCAGAAAGTCATAGTAAAAGGTGATTTTTACTTTCCACTGTTGGCAACTCGAGGCTTTTACTGATCCAGAATTGTTGGTCCAGGTCTACCAAACGTCAAGCGATGCGTGATTCATGCCGACGAGAAGCGTGGCGACGAGTATAGCATCATCGTTGAGGGCAGCGATTTCCGAGGTGTTCTATCAGAGCCTGGTATCGATGGTCGCTACACGAATTTTAACAATGCCTTGATTGTTGCTGAGGTAGAAGAAAAATGTGCTTTCAAATCCTGAATTTTTCTTAGCCTCTGCAATCTTTTTGTCTTTTCTTCACTATGAAACTAAGAAATTTGCAGGTTCTTGGGATTGAAGCTGCCCGCACTTGTATCATCAACGAGATCATCGCTACTATGGAAGCTCATGGTATCGGTTTGGATAGGCGACATGTCATGTTGCTGGCTGACGTCATGACATACCGGTAACTTTCTAGTATATACTAGTTGGCAAACCCGGCTCCGCCCGGGTCTGCTAATAATATATTTGTAATCAGCATGCTCGATTACCCCCCTGTGCCAACTCCCAGCCCTGTAGCTCAAATTTTGCAAAAATCGATAAAATCGATATCGATCGTTGACAGAAAGTAGCCTATGACACCCGCCGGCCCCGAAGTGTATTTGTGCCAAGTTTGGTCCCGATCGGTTCAGAAATGGAATTTTCTATTCGGAACATACGTACATACAGACATACATATATACATACAAACAGACATTCAGCTTTATATACAGGGTGTCCCAAAAAAATGTATCGAACGTGGAATGGTTAATATCTCTCTTCCCAAGAAGTCCTTTGCCTTGATTCAGGTACCTTTCTGTAGAGCTGGCTTCAACTTAGATTTGCGTTATAAAACGAATCACCCATCTCTCTTCATTACTGTAAGATTACGGTAGAAACTTGAAACATATGGTGTCAATGTGGAAAAAGCTGCCTTTTCAAAATTTCTCAAAAAATTGTGGACACTTGTGTAATAGGGTTTTTATGGACGCTGAGTTCATTACTCAACTATTCACAAGATTACGAAGCTTTCTAGACGGTGTAACCGCACTTTTTAGGAACATTGAAAAAACGGCCGCTACCTCTTACCTGGCATAGCTCTTCAATGAAGCATCACAATAAGTTGGGAACTTTACAGTTATAATCAGCAACTCTAATTAGCCTAGTGTAAAAGCTTTCAGGCTGTTTTGTTTCTTTTCTGAGGCAAAATTTGGCCTTTCATTGCTTAAAACCCTCTTTGAAGTTTCTACCGTAATCCTACAGTAATGAAGAGAGATGGGTGATTCATTCTATAATGCAAATCTAAGTTGAAGCCAGCTCTACAGATTGGTACCTGAAGCAAGGCAAAAGACTTCTTGGGAAGAGAGATATTAACGATCAAACGTTCGATACATTTTTTGGGACACCCTGTATAAGATAGTGTCAAAATCAATTTTCCCGCTCACGGATCAGCAACGTCTTTGTCACCACTTCCTTGATTTTCCTTTTCAGTGGAGAAGTTTTGGGAATCACGCGTAACGGTTTGGTAAAAATGAAGGAATCAGTTTTGCTTCTGGCCTCTTTCGAAAAAACTATGGATCATCTTTTTGAAGCGGCCTTCTACAGTCAACGTGATCCGGTAGGCACAACTTAAGTTCTATTTTTATGTTATCATTGTGGTCGAAAGTCGATATGCACTGATATTTTCACTGCAGATACATGGCGTTTCGGAATGCATAATTCTTGGTATTCCAATCTCTATCGGTACGGGGATGTTTAAATTGCATCAAAAAGTACCAGAAGTTGTCAGCTGCAGTCCAGGAGAACCCATCTTTATGAAAAAAGAATTAGGGCTGAAGATCTGAATCGAAGCAAATGGATTTTCCTATGCGTCAATTTTCGTATAACCGATCAGCTTTAGATTTCGTGACATGTCTAGTAGAACATGTTGCTCGTTCTTGTTGAAATCGTTATTGTTAAGTTCTCAGAGATGTGTATCCGAATGTTCTTAATGGATCGTTAATGTTGTTGTTACGTTAGCAAAAAGTCATTGTTGATTTGCGATAAATTGTTTGGAAACTATTGCATTACAATGTACAAGAAGAGGTCTCCGCGGCATTGGCGATGGTCTAATCTGCCTGCTGTCTATAGTGGCGGTAGGACGGTTCAGACCGCATGTTCCACTGACTTAGCGGGAACAACTGGTCAAAATAGATGTTTATCAGGAGCATGAAAAGCCATAAGAAGGAGCTGATATGCAAATACAGAGAATAAGAGTAGCTAGATGATGAGATATAGAAAAGCTAATACAGAACAGGAATATTGGTGGGGAACTGTTGAGGAACTGTTGAGGAAAGGACTAGACATCTCAGAACCGAAACACGAGATATAGTGATTCGTACATCCCATGGGTTTGGTTCAAGACTGATAGTGTTACAAGAACCCAGCCGGGCGCCCGGGTGCTACACGTCCCCCCTTGTGGTAAGTGGCGTCCCGACACTTAACAAGCTCTAATCTATCTGTAGTTCCTTCATCCTTGCTTTTCCTGGTCGTTGTCCATGCGATCCTTGTCCAAGCGATCTTCTCCCAGATTTCTCGCAACAAGTGTCCACTCTTTTCTGTTTGACTTCGTTATGTCTTCCCACTTGTACTACTAGTTCGGCAGGGATGTGCTCTGACATAGTCGACCATTTCAAGAAAATCCCAAAATGCGCGAGGGTATCTAGTACATATGACTCTTATGACTCTTTAATTTTTTCACAACATTCTTGTTTGCTGATGCGTTGGAATCGCTTCATCTTGCTGTTCCACGCATATTTGTATATGTATTTGTATATTTATTCTTTTGCGAGGCAGTAATTAACATTTATCTTCGTCCTCGAAAATGCTAATGATCATATCCCCTGACTTTGAGCGATGAGCTTCACCCATTGCAGCAGTGGTATTTTGAATAGTCTTACATGTTTTACTGTGCAGATACTGTTCGAAGTTTGTAATTTTCCGAAGTGAACGACTTCGCATATCAGCGAGTATAAAAATTATTAGGTATCTAATTGATTTTATATAGGTATTTTCTGGAAGAGAATAATCTATTCTAATATCCATCAAAATTGAAAATGGTCACTTTCTTTCGTGAGAATTCCACAGTATTCTCTAGGTGTCACATTTTTTACCGATCACACTAATACTTCATTCTTCCGCCGTGACCATCATTTCCGGTGCGGAAGCTCGCACGTGATCTATTGGTATGTTCATCTTCCGCCCGCATCCTCCGACATTTTTACAATAGGGAAGTTGGCGAGAGTCAAGAACTAGTAGACTTAGTAAGGGTACTTGATGGCGTGGAGCCGCAGATGACACTCTGAGCCATTTTCAGGCCTCTGCAAGACGAAGGCATCAAGTTAGACCTCGATTGGGTTGATAAAGATCACCTAACAAATCTGTTTGGCACAAAATACTTTGTCAATACTCAAGATGTAGTAGCTACAAGCAGAAAGATATTCTAGATGAAAATTGCCAAACATTTTCTTTTAGAAACTTCACTCTGAGAACCATAACTTGATTTGATGTGATAGAATTGCAAAAAACTGCTTATCACGTAGTCAACAGTCGGCTCGCCCTACTGCCAACCTTGTCACCGAAATTCTTCATAAGATTTTCTAACAGAGAAACTCCAAAAAACCCACTTATTTTGCCCCTTCCGAGGGACAGAAGATGTTTTTTTTTTGGAAATTTTGATTGTGTTTGTTCGTTATTCTAGTAACGAGTGTTTGAGGTCGATCTCACTCCATAGGGCAATTTCCGTAATTGAGTGTGCTTAATTTCCATGCTACTCGTATAAGGACCACAATAGTTTATGTTTATGCTAAAAGTTCATAGGTTTAAAACTTTTGGAAATTATATCTCGATAAGCATATCGTAGCATGAGTCTCCATCAAACATTTTATTTGTTTTATGAGGAATTTCCTTGTCTGGTTGTGGAATTTATGGCAATATAGCAAAAAGGGAATTTCCCATATTAATTTCATTGTCCTTTTAAGGTACGAAATCTCAAAATGAACAAAGCTCTACGCGAGAGTGTGCTCGAAAAACTAGAATAAAAGAATTTTCAAATGATATAAACAGTCATGAGAAATGGTTTTTTCGTTAAAATCAGCAGCTCAAAAAGAGATACAAGAAACGGGTGGAACTGTTGAAACAGCTTAATACAACAGTCGGTAATAATAGGTAGCACATTTTTTCAATCACATTCTGATGGCACAACGATAATCTTATAACAATGACAATTGCGTCTTTGTAAACAGCGAGTGTTGTGTTGATCCTGAGGGCTTCCATGCGCGAAAGACGCACCACAGTCTGTTTCTTACACCACTATTCCCTAATGAATATAACGCCCATTTGATGAGATTGAGATTCGCTGAAACCTTCATGGCTGCATCTTGCCAGAAACCGTTTCTGAAATTGATTTGGCCATTTTCCGATATTCTAAACAAAGTTTGTTCTCACGTTTTGATAAGGTTGAAACACAATGTCGAAGTTAGGAAACAAACAGTGAGTGCCACGAAGCTGAGCGCTAAGCGAGTTTCTGGGCTTAATTTCAGACTCTAAAAGTGTATTTTCTTGCTGAAAGCTTTTTTGCTCAAGGTTATCTTACCTTCTTTCTTGTTGTGGTACTATGTCCTATAGTTGCTATGCTTGCATTTACAACCTGTGAATGAGCGCTTTGCAATTTATACACTTTGTAAACTATGAGAATATCAATGACTAGCATGATGCCCACGCAAGTTACCTGCAATGTAGTAGTTAAGTTAAGGTTCTAAAAACTTTCAAGTTATACCTGCAGTACAATGTTAACATCATTGTAAATATATGTATAAGGCTTTGCAAAATCGAAATGCCAGTAATGTCCTGGGATGAAGTAAGCATAACCACAGCACGAAGTGAAGAGGGGAGCTGAATGGCACATAAAATAGGTTTTCTATTTCCGCAACCGATCCTCTCAACTTTAAGGTGGACTGATACATTAGGAAATTATGAAAATTCACAACATCTAAAACTCGTGTCTTTTTACTAATTGTTCCAATGTTTGATAGCAGGGCTCGGCATAAAAGACAAAAACTGCGACGTCTTCTCGGTCGATTCGTTTTTAAGGTTTTTTTTTCGTGTTTAGCGTCTAGGACCAAAGGGGACTTCATACGAAGTTTTGAAGATCGTTTTGAAATTTCTCTGCTCCAAGCTCGCTCCAATTCCTGTTTGATTAATAAGTTGGGCAACACCAGCTGTCAGCTGAAGTAATAATCGACGTCCCAAAGTTTCCATACCAATCCGATGTCTCACGTTTACTCAGAAAATGAGACACTTTCACATTTTGTGCCTCAAACCTATCAGAGGAATTTTGCATAGTAACAACTCTGCCTAGAAGCATAAATCGCTTGACTCCATCCTCCTCATAGTATCCGCTTTCCCTTATGCTAGACAAAAGTCCATTCAGAGATTCAGATTTTTTCGGTTCCAAAAACATCACGCTCACCTGTCATCGAGGCACTGATGAGAAGTATAACAATAATGCAAACGAGGGTGTCCTTGCGTGAGATGCGACGAAAATTCAAAGGGGCGAATACTGCGAGAAGATGGATGACAGAAAGAACTGGAAGAAGAAAGAGCTGGAAGAACCATTGCACACTCAGTAGTACGGTAGCTGCTTCTGTTGTAAGTGTCGCTGAAAATGAGATAGATGATTTAAACAAACATCAGGTTGAATTGGTGCTCTACAACGTCTCTCGTTGTCAGGAGGAAAAAAAACAAGCCCCAAAATGCATTTGGAAGGGGTGATTGCATGTGCGCATTCTAATTGTATTTCCTACAGCTTCCGCACTTTTTTTGTAGTTTTTTCTGCGGCATTTTTCATGAGTGGAAATTGATGTGGAAAGACATAATAACTTTCAAAGTGCTTAAGCCTCTACACTACGTGAATGTGGTTCTAGAGAAAGTTCACTAAGTTGGTGGAAAACTCACTGGTTATATCTTTTTGGAGAATGTAACTGGGTACGTCATGAGCAATAGTATTAAGAAATACGCAGACATCCAGAAGCATGGCCATAAAAACAAGCATAATCACTGGATTCTTTCGCAAATCCTTTCCACTGAGAATGATGTAGATGAGAAGAATGTCGAGAAGGACAATGGCAGCATTTAGGATTATGTTTAGAATGTATAGAAGGACCTCAACTCGCATCGTATTGTGTTGTTCACCAGAAACTGTCAGTAATATGGAAAACAAAATGAATCTGAAGGCAGCATTTATGTGTGACGGCAGTCTTAGCTCAGCTAGAAAACAGTGACTACATGGATAATTACGGATGTGTTCATGTAACTTGTCTTCTCAGCAGAATCACAAAACAGTAATTTCACTTGCAAAATATATGGGTGGTCAGAATTGTTAGCATTTGCATACCTTTGGCAACATTGTTACTGCCATTTAACAAACTTTTCAGATCTGTTCTCCCCATTTGCAAAAATCTTGAAACGCTCAAGTAGCAGAAGCAAAAATATCAACCAACAATCGTAAACGTTCTCTGTAGATAGGGAAGCGTATCTGCTTGATAAAGCTTTTAGCTTCCAAATGCCATCTCAACAACTGCTTGGGAAATATACGTGAAAGCAAATGAAAAAGAAGACCACTTAATTTAATCTGGGTTGAGAAACCATCTGAACAGCTGCGATATATACAGGAAAATTAATTCCGCCGTCTTATAAATTACACTTTTCATGCGAACGAAGTTTGTGATGCTTCTACGTGATATGATTTGCTCAAAAACAACATAAAACCACAAAATCAGCTTTTCGAGTTTTCAAACCACTGAACCAATTTTCAGCTTCCTTCAAAAAATCATAGCTACTCAAGAGATTTTTGATGAGAATAGAGGTTGTTCAGAAAATATGAGTCATTAAAGGTAATGGCTCAGCAAATCTTCGACCTAGATTTCTTGCTTACTTGGGGCAATTTGAGGCGCTGATCCCGAAAATCCATTTGAGAGAAGCGCAAAAAGCATGCTTTTAACCCTTCATTTTTATTTGTACAAGTGGAACGTTTCCGCCGAGGTTGGACCATGATATTTCGGCATGTTGCTTCCGATATTGTAATAGAAACTGTGAGCTTCCCCGAGCGGCTTCAAGATATTTACAGGCCCCGTAAAACACAATTGCCCAACAATTGAACACCAACGCGCGGCGCGGCTGGAAACGTTTGGTCCCGAAGCGCTACAGGCCTTTTTCGAGCGACAATGAGCGCGCGTCCTTTCCACACATATTTTTTTAACTTTTGAGGGGGGCTTTCGTCGAGATATACCTTGCATTGACGATAACAACATGAAAGTTAAAGAAAGATTTTTTGGAATATAGTGAACGCCGACAGTCGTTCGCGACGACCGCTCGCTTACGCTGGTGTTCAAGGCACGGCGCGGGCAATTAGGTTTTACGGCGCCTATACGCACATTAATTCTTTCGGTTTGGGTCGAAAACAACAAGAGATTGCATTTTTAACAAGGCAGAGCCTTGGGACGGTACGAGGTAAGCCAAAATTATCGGCGCTGATATCCAATCAGCCTCTACTCCAGGCACCTGTCCCTCGTACTAATTAGCGGACCACTTGCATCAGCTTGCAGGGTTTTGCGCTGGGATTCTTTACACATGCAGTGGGTCCAGACGCACTAACATGCAATCCGATGCAAGTCGTCCACCAAATACGGTAGCGGGGTCTAGTCTCCTGGTTTGAAGACGAACATCTCAGCCGCTTGTACAATATTTGCTCTGCCGCTTGGGCCATGTCTTTAATAGAACCTCAAGAACACTTCACACGTGCTATCTGTAAAATGTGCTTGGACGCTACCTTTATAGCGAAACGATTGTAAGACAAATTGGCGAGAATCAAGCATAAATCTGTTTTGAGAAGACCTTTTCATCGTTGCGGTGGTGCCTATGTCAAGAAACTTACGACAAAGACTGCAAATCAGAAATCTTTGTTCCTAAATTGTGCTGTGAAGTGATGCAAGTACACTGACTTAGACCACTTGCTTGTATTGAGCGCTTGCTTGCCTTACTGTGCCACGCGGATTTCAAGCGATCAAATTGAACATATTTCAGAGGTAAATTGTAAACAAAGTGCGTTTAGCATCTAATATGGCTAATAAAACCGCCAATACACCAACAATATGTGTGCATTACTTTGAATCAGTGTCTCCTTGCGTAAATAAAATAGTAAAGGAGTAGAGGGAGCAAACAATAAGAAATAATAAGAAAGCCAACCATGAGTGAACTGTATTAACTGCATGTGTTGGGGACAATGAAAATGAGCATGAGATATCAACCGATTATTGCCAATGAACATGATTTTATCATTTTAGCGTATGGCTGCATAGGAGCTTTAAAGTAAGTTTATAATTTTGTGAAAATTTCATACCGTGCTTTTTTACATTTATGAAATAATCTTTTTTGCAAGAGCAAATTTGCGTTTTCGGAGCCTTATCAATTTCAACATTTGCTGCTTTACGCATGTAAATCCTGCGCGAGAACTCTATATAAAAGACTTTGATAAATACCATTACAACTAATATGCGACAATACGAAATGCATTTTCACAGCTCGGGCCATGGGCTTCATGCGGTACGAAATTTCTGTAAAGAATTTCTTGGTTTCAGTGCTTATAGGAACTTGCTAGACCAGTATGGTCGCTTCTACTTCACGAATCATACTTCTGGCACAACTTTTGTAAAAAGCTCTTCGGTAAAGTGCGAAATTCATATTCATAATCAACAACTCAGTTTAGTCTAGTAAGATGTCAGCTTGCTGAGTGTCCATTCTGGGGCAAAATGTAGACATTGATGGTTTAAAATTTTTTCTTAAACTTCCTCATTGATCCTACAGTAATGAAGAGCTATGTGCTTCGCTCAACACTGTGAATCTAAGTTGAAGACTGCTCTACTGAATTTTGTTTGAACTAAGCAAAAGAGTTTATGGAAGAGAATTAAAATGATCAAAAAATGTGTGCTTACTATCGGGAGACTCTTTATATAGATCAGGTTGGCAACATTTTGCAATTACTTCCATGACTTTTGTAGAATCGCATTCTTCTAAATCATGTAGATTGACTTGTGAGCTAAAAACAGTCATTGCCTGCCACATTCTTTCATCGCACGGATTAAGATAAATAGAGGGCAATCTAAATATGGGCAAAAATAAAACTCAAATATTTTTCTTACTGTTTGGCTTACCTCAGCAGCACTTTGCTTAGAGTTTCGCTTCACCTGCTCAATTCAGGCTGTGCACCGCTTCGCTGCGACAAAAGCGATGAACTTAATTTTCACCGGTTTTGCGCCAAGGTTTCCTTTGTCTTGTTATCAGAAATCAAACGGTTTGTGCACTTTACAATCTACACAGTATCAAAATTTGAGCACGTCAAAAGAAAAAGGTTGTAAAGTAAGTTTCGAGTTTTTCCTTTTCAACGTCTTTTGGTTGAGCGAATTTGCACAAATCAAACATTATTGAACATTATCACGAAGTCTCTTGTACGTATAGACATCTTTACAATCTTATCTATCTTATCTTTATCTTTACAATTCTATACCTAGTTCATTTCTTTATGAGCTATTGTTCATAATTTGTTGGGCGAGATTTACCAATATTACTTCCAATACACCCGCTTCCAACATATACAGTTGTTTGTTTAAATAAGATCATTTTTGCCAAAAGCAGGGGCATGAGACAGACTCCATTGAACCTGTACAACTTTATGACTTCATACTCGTCCAAGCAAGTTCAATCCCTTTCTATCCTTAGAAAACAATTAGCTGGCTGGACTTGGCTGATTCAGTGGAGTGTGTTTGCTCGCTTTTTTAGCTGCTAGTTGTTTTGTGTAATGCTTCGTTTCTGTAGATGGGTATGCCTTGTGCGTGTTAAATAAATAAATAAATGATCCTTGTGAAACATCAACTACGTGGAAATTGATAAGCATCAGATCGTATGATCAGTAGCAAACTCAAAGTAAACTTTTCTCAAAAGTAAAACATTACAGGTAATTGTTTTACTATCAGCAGATGTTTTAAAACTGCACATTCATGGATATAGCGCACGGTTGTATATTTAGCACTTCAGATCAGCTCTTCCCTGCGCAAATTTCTGTTCTTGCAACATCCAATTAAGTTGATTATTTCTGATCGGATGACTGGCGTTTCAAGCGCGTATATAGCCAATTTAGCCAGGTTGAGGAGTAGAGTGAATTTCGTAATAATGTCCTGCCATAGACCATCTCTGGAAAATGGAGAATCTCCGTTGAAAAATAATAATTCATGTGGTATGTACTGGTTGAGCAGTATATTGTATAAGAATGCTTACCCAAGAATTACGTTGTAGCTTACGGTCATAATCAAAAAGCAGACGCTTAGCATCACAAAGTTCAGCGCAAGTCGAGCCTCTCGTCCGTAAGTTAGCTGAAGTTTATTCATGTGCAGCAGCTTCGTAAATTTGAATCTTACCCGAATTGATGGCGCTCCGGGAACAATTGACAATGGATGGCGAGCTGTTGCGTGAGAGCGCATCTGAATTACCTTCCACATTATCGCTGTATCGGCTGCGATGACTGTGGCTACACATAAACCCTGTAAGCAGAAACTTTTGAGATTTGAAGAGGTGCGGCCTGAAGTTACATCACCTGCAATGCCACATTCACTTTTGCGTAGATATACGTGTAAGGCTTCTCAAAATCGAAGTACCAGTAATGACCTTGTAGATAATATTTGTATCCACAATACTTCGTCAGAAATGGTACTGAAAAGTGACTGCTGGCTTCTGCTGCTATAGAAATAAGAACTTGTCCCACGAACTAGTAAGCAGTGCTCCAAGTGCTACGATGGAAGCGTTGGCAATTTTAACATGTCTCAAGGAAATCGTCCGGAATCCTTTGGGGGAGAATACAGCGAAAAAGTAAACAGTGGATAGGAATAGTAGGGAGAATAGCTGGGTGAACCACTGTACGATGATGATAAACAGCGACACATGTGTAAACACAGGGCCTGAAACGGAAAGCTCCTTTTCTTAAGTTCTGGGCTCATCATCAATACGCATTGAAAAACGACTGTGCACGCAGTTAATAAATAAATTCGGTCGCTTTTGCGGTTGCTATGCTGCAGACAAATTTTTGTCCAGTGTTTGGTATCTCTGATAGCACCCAAGGGTGAATTGGAATGCACATTCTTCCAATGGTAAGTAGTATTTTCCCTATGAATAAAAGGTGCAAAGAAGTGAGATACTTGAGACAATTGAGATACTCAATTTTCCATCCAAACGCCAAATTTCTCATTCTCATGTATCAAAGCTCTCATTCTGCATCTATCACAGCACAAAAACAAATTGGAGACCAAAGAACTGAGGAACTAAGAGAAATTTGTCCATATTGTGTTACAACTGTCCTTCACCAAAAATACAAAATTTTGAGTTGGTATATAATAGTAGACGCTTTAAACTTCTCCAAGTCATTGATGAAAAGCAAGAAAAATTTAAATGCAGTTTATGCTGAACGAAATCATCTTGTAGCCAACTTAATATTTTATTGGGTGGGGGAAGAAAACAAGAAGTTTCTTTTGAATTGAAGAGTTCCATCGAACAATTGCTTGGGAAGCTTTCTAGAATTTCGAAAGTCCTTCTTCTCCCTAACTGTCTCACAAAGTTTAAAAATTTATTGAAAATACTATGATCATTCAAGTTCAAAAAAATAGTCAGTACAAATATAACTCAAGCAAGCCACATAAATTTTTTTTGCGAGGAAGACCTACACACCAATTCCCTCCGATTCGCTACACTCACAGCACAGAAAAAACAAGAGAAAGAAAAAGAAAGAAGGCAGGAGTGAGAAAGATGGCAAGCATTCTTACATGTGAAATCCCTTTCAAGCGCAAAGCTTGGTACGTCATGCACAATAAAATTTATATAAAATGCGATGTCCATTAGCATTGCTGTTGTTATTATGTGAAGTATACGATTGCGATAGAGCGCTCGAGTTTTGATAGCCGCCCATATGACAAGAATGTCGAGCAAGATGACGAGAGTGTTCAGCACCGCATTCGGAATGAAGATAATGACTTTGGCGGACATTGTACATGGGTGCAGCTTGACCCTAAACACGTTTTTTTTTCTATCAGACTGTAAATGTAGAGAATTTTTTCGTACTCGTTCCGCGATAAAGGGATGGTTTATCGGACGAAATATAAGAATAGCCACGGAATAAAAACATTAGTAGTTGAGAACAGCTCTAAATAGAATACGCTTTCATTTGGTGCTTTGAAGGCACATGATCATCTCAAAGACTGTTTTTAGCGATCTCTGAAACTCATCTTCATGACAGATTAATAGCTTCCGCTTTAAAGAATTTCCTTTATCTCTCGGCAGCAAACGCAAAGTGTTCTCTCGTTGTTTGCCATAGTCTAGTCTATAGTTCACGGTTTCATATATACGTCACGTTTCTACTGTTACATTTCACTCCACTAACAATAGAGGGTCTACCAATGATAAGTTGATATGAAGAAAAGCCTACTACGAATTTGATTCAACATATTTATAAAGCATGCCGAGTTCGTCTTCAAGTCACAAATAAACTTTCAATGTCGAGTGGACAAATTACATTTTAGTAACAAAGTTTCGTTGTGGCCAAATGTTCTAGATAGTCGAAAAAGGGTAGTCGAAACTTCGTTTCCACCAAATGTAAATCATAAATTTCCGGACAGATAAGAAAATTGAGGTGTTTATTCTTACAACACGCTGGCGCCCTCTCCGCTAATGTGCCAATCTCGATATTGGAACTACACTGGTACGCTAGATTTTCAATAGAACAAGGTGGAAAAGCACGAAGTACAACGTTTGCAACGATCGACCACTTTCGAAAAGTTATGATTTTTGAGAAGAAATGTCAAAAAATCAATTTTCGTAAGGCCGTGCCCAGGCAAATTTGAGCACATGGATTTTCCGCCTGGATATTGATGAACGGGTCCTAACCAAGACACTGCGCAGCGCAAATGATTCATTCGCGGCTGAGAATTCCGTTTCCAAACCCTCCATGCCTGCGCTGTGGCCGTAATCCGAATATGAGTCGACTCACAGTAACACTACGCTCGCGCTGAGACCCATTCTAACAAGGGAAGGATACTTAATCAAAGTGGCGTTTCCATATGAAATGTATACTATCTTATAGAGCATGCAACGCTGATTCTAAATCTGCTTTCCGTATCTGCAAAGCGCTTCTGGGATGGGAGTTATGAAAATCTTTCGAGGCAAAAACTCGGAAGCGCAGCTACTATGAAAGCATTAACACATTGACGACAACGTGACCCAAATGGTGGGTCACGCAATGACTGCCACGTGGGACAATGTGACCCACATGGTGGGTCACATTGTCCCATGGCTCAAATTGGGTCACGGCTCAAATTTTTTTAAAACGATTGCAATTAGTGGGTACAATCGCTTCACGAGGTCATTCAAGCTCTGACCCTAGAGGATACTTTGACCTTTCCTGGCTGCGTTTTAGAATTTGTGTAGGTGTGCTATAGATGACGATCTGCGTGATTTTAGCTAGAAATTTCTGACTTATTCATGGAGGGCATTGTCCCACAAGGCAGACAAATCAAAAATTCGCGTTGTCATCAATGTGTTAAGGACTCTGATCCATGAGCTCATATGAGGCCATGATTACTACCAGAGCCTTTTCTGCAATAAATACACTCACTCTAACAAACTCATGTCAGTCATTACACCTTTTTAGCGCCGAAAAGTTTCCAACACCTGTTTTTACCTTAGCCAAATCATTGAATTTTCACCTCAAAAAATTTTCATAACGTCCCTCCCAGAAACGCTTTGCAGATATGGAAAGAAGATGTGGAATCAGCGTTTTATGCTCTATAAGATGGTATACATTTTGTATGGAAACGCCACTTCGACCAATTATCCTTCCCTTGTAAGACATCGCGAGGTACGGTCACGGCGCGTGCGCAAAGAGTTTTATTAGGGATTTCTGGGCCGTGAATGATTCACTTGCGCTGCCGCTTGGGCGCGCCTTGGTTAGGACCGTCTTATCAGTTTTCATGTGGAGAACCCATGTGCCCAGATCTGCCTCGACAGTGCCTTCAAGGAACTGATTTTTGGCATTTTTCTTGAAAATAGTAACTCTTATTATTGTGATTGTAAGCCGCACTCGAGGTTGATAACAACTATTTATTGGTTGACATTTCGGGAGACCCTTCTTCAGAGCCTGGAATGGACAAAACGATTTGCAACATATTCGATCAAATGTATCTGCAGCTCCACAGTAAAGTTCTAAGACGACGCGTGATCGCTGTGTAGACCGCCAAACTTCGTCGTGGAGATACCCCCAAATGACCTTAAAAGTATTTTGGTCTGCATTCACATCTACGATCGCACCTGCATGACTTACCTGCCCTGCGGGCTGGGGCGAGGAGGGTGTATGTTGAGAGGCGCGATTTTTACTGATAGATGAACACCAAATAGCATCATAAGTGTTTTGTAACATTCTAAAAGTATTCAAATTTTAGAAAGATTAGATAGTTGCGTGAGTTGCTCAATCTTGCTTTATTGGAATCACTTCAAAACAGCAATTTCGAAAATCAAAACCCATGAAAAGGCAGTTAGGAACAAATTCGTAAATATTATCTTGGAAACTAGGTTCTGCAACCACCTCTATAACTCAACCCTTTCTGGATGTGGCGCCCTCAAACTTTGGCAGTATGTAATGCGTAATATGAGCTACTTTTGACTCAGTGGAGGGTATAAATAGCTTGGCGTATATGATCAGTCATAGCGCTCGCCTCAGGCCCCTGTATGCTATCGGCGTTTTCAAAAAGGCAAGTGTTGGGCACACAGCGACCAGCCATCGCCTTTGCTTGTGCTGCAGAGACATTTGATCGAATATGTTGCGAATCGTTTTGTCCATTTTAGGCTCTAAAAAACGATCTGCCGAAACAACAGCCATTAAATAGTTTTTACAATCTGAGTGCGATTTACAATCACAATAATGAGATCTACGTCATGCCAAGATTCATAGAAAGTTGGACATTCATTCACTCCGCAATGTGCCAGCCGAATACCAACGACTCGTCAGGAAAACACTGTCGCTAAGACAATGTTTTCCTGACGAGATCGTATGAGCTAGCAGTTCATCTTCAAAAGATCGTATGAGCTAGCAGTTCATCTGTTTTCTCAATCGCTGTTGCAACATCGTGTGATCCCAAAGTTCATTGCTCGATCAAAGCGAAGTTCGCTCAGCTAAAAAAGACGGAATCAAAAAAGTCAGGTTACTGGCTGCTATGGCTTTTATGACACAGTTTAAGAATTTTTAACGGACTTGCCTAAAAATTCCAAAATTGAAGTAATTTCGTTTTCTCATCTACCTCTGCATTGTAAAGCTTAGTAGATAGTAAACAAGGTGCCACTGGAATACGCATGATTTGCTCCTTTCAATAAGATTTTACACATGGACAAGCACGTGACGTGAAGAAGTTACGATTTTAAAAAAAATGGTGCGACAGAACTTTCAGTTCAATCTAGTATTAGGTTGGTCTGAAAGTTTTGTCAGTTTCTTCAATCCATCGGCAAACACGCTAGAATGAAGTTAAACAAAAGCTTCAAAATGTATTCAATGCAGAATTTCCTACTCTTTGCAGCTGCTAAACTCCCATTGTGTTTCGTTGCAAGAGTGACGAGACATTTGCTGCAAATTACAACCACCCGTTTTTTACCATGTCCAAATTTCGCTGATTTTCAAAATTTTTGAATGAAACTTTCGAAGGAGCGCTTATAACGAGCAGATAGGGCCAACCTTTTTCCAACTTACACAAATTTCTGTATCCCTACGGCTTGTCTTTCAGAATTTCTACGATTTATTTTTGGAAGTGACCAAATTTTACATTCAGCCTATTTTGACCTCGTAGAACGTAAAATGTTAAACAGTTCAGTCACCATTCGATGCAAATTTTTCTCCTCTTTCTAACCTTTGTCTTTTTTGCCGAGACAAGCGAGATTTGTGGGGAAAACCGCAGTTTTCGTAACCTATGTTTCAAAATCTTCATAATTTAAAGCAAAAATCGCTCATTTACTTTTCAATGGTAGCGGTAGTAACAATCGAGTGTTGAAACCTTAGCATTCTGAAAGTTTTGCAGTGTTTGGTGCAATAACAGTTATACCGTTTTTCAAACACAAGCCTTTTAGAGAATTATTTAGCAAAAATCTGAAAAAGCAGCTGGAAAAAGAAAAAAATTGCATAGGATGGCAAAAGATTTGGCCTATTTGGTGGTTGTAAGAACTCCTCCGGAAGTCTCATACAAACATTTCGAAAATTAGTGAAAGGTGGACATGGTAAAAACGAATTGTTGTAATTTCCAGCGAATATCTCGTCATTTTCGCAACGAAACACAGTGGGAGTTTAGCAGCTGGAAAGAAGAAGAGATTCTGCATTGAATACATTTAGCGTTTGTTAATCTTCATTCTAGCGTGTTTGCCGATAGCTTGAAAAAACTGACAAAACTTTCGGACCAACCTAATATACAGGGTGTCCCAAAAATATGCCTGCTGTTCGATTAATAACTCTCTTGATTGAAATCTTTGGAGAAGCTATAGTTACCATTTTGTAGAGCTGGCTTCAATTTGTTTGCAGCGTAGAGTGGGTCACCAATACTCATTCCTAAAGCAGAATTCCAAACAAACTTTAAAGGGGGATTCAAGCTATCATAAACGCACTTTGTATTCTATCAACAGGCCTGTCAAAAATCTAGAAACTCAGCGGAGACTGATTGAGACCTGGTGCTCAAGAAGTTGAACAACGCAGTTGAACAAAATTGATGTAGCTGATGTAGATGTGTAGTTTGAGCAGTAGCCAAGATTGGTCTTAAAGGCACCGTTCACCCTAAGTTGAAGGTGATGAGCTTTTCACAACACATAATAGTAGGGCCCTCTGTCAATCCAATGCTCAAGTCGCGGCGCAAAATGTCGCTTCAGAAGCAAGAAAATTGCTTCGGAATAGCGAAGATGCACGAGGACCCCCATCCATGCCCACCCTCCCCCATCCATGCCCGCCCATTTGTGCGCGCCCA